TACCGTGGCTAATTTCAAGATCAATAATCTGCCATTACAACAATTTGATGTGTTGGGCATTTTTTTTACGTTCTTTTAACGGCATAGAACTGGAGTTCTCTGTTTCAGAACAAATGCCAAAAATTTAATTTTGAATTTTATTTTTGATTACTAATACATGAAAATACTTCATATTTTTCCAAATACTCTTTAGCTGCTGTTCACAATCTAATTTCCAAAGGTTATTTTTTTGCAGGATTGAAAGGGCTCTGTTTGAAATGAGCGTATAATTCTGTATTTTATGAGGAAATATACTGTTGTTGTTTTCCAGAAAATTTTTTTTGTTGAATGAAGGTAGACCAGTACAATAAAGAAAAGCAGATAATACGCTCAAGGATCAAAAGACTTGGTTCTTTTGTAGAAAATAAACTAACGTTAAGAAAACCCAATATTGAAGTTTTTTTTTTTTTTGAAATTTAAGCATCTAACGGTATAACGTTGAAAAAATCCTATCCGACAGCTACAATGGATCGGAAAAAGTTTGAGTGCACGTCATCTGTTAGAAGTGGTAATTTTAATTATCTGGTAAGTAATATTCTACTCCTTTTATATAAGGACGAAATTTTTGTCAATGTTTTTAAAACGGAGGGCCGAAAAAGATCTGCGAAAATGCAGTGCATCAAGAAACTAGCCTCGATATAAGTATAAGCGATAAGCAATGCTCGGTGAAGAAAAAAAAGAATGAAAAAAATTTAAACGTCAAAAACCATTTCTCTTAGCTTCATATTCCGAGTTCATCTGCATACATGGTTACATCGGCAAAAGGTCCGAGACTTTGTGCTAGTAAACAGCGCATTTGTTAAGAGTAATTTAAGCATGATCCTGGAGAACAGTCAAATACAGATAATCTAAATTCTGGCGAGTCGTCCGAAAGTTGAAGGTCAAGAAGTGAGGGTAACTCAAACAACTGATGCTACTCAAAATAACAGTACATGTAGTATTGGGCCTGTGGATTGGAGCTTCAGGAGGAATGACCTGCTGGTGTTTTGGAACGGTGAGAAAGACAGAAGTGGTAAAGAAGCGAACGTTGAGTATGACAGGTGCCGTCAGCAGCTTTATTTAAATTTATTTTTGTTCTATTACCTGAATCTATCATTTATTCTAAAACATCTCACGTACGATTTATAGACTTACCAGGACCATAATCTACTCGTTGTTTTGCAGACGGCTAAAGGAGTATAATGATGTCGTTTTGAAAAAACTATACTTCACTTACTTACTGGTGCTTCAAAAGTTTGAGAATAACAAATTACTTCAGTCAGTGTGTTTTTTGACGCTCTAAACTATTATTTATCTTATTCTTGCTAGCACAGCACGTTAAGTGCATATGATTTGGAGTTCCAATGGAACTGTCAGGAACTAAGTGAACTTTTTGGAACTAAAATACATTTCCATGCTTGTTTAGAACTGATAGCAGTACTGGAGGTCGTGTTTTCGGCTTACATGATCAAAGCTCAGATATTTGTTATTGATGGTAAAAGCTGTTAACTAGTTAAATATGAGCTGCTTAACTGATTGAATACCTGAAAGTATTTGTCGAATATCGACAAACTTCTGGGATGACGGCTGTTCTTGTTAGCATATATAGAATAATTTTCTTTTATATAAAGGATTGTATGAAGAGTTTAGAAAATGGTTTATTTTGGGAACAAAAATTTTTTCAAAGTATTTTACAGTGTTATATAATTATAAGTTTCAACAGATAATCTTTTTTTTTGAAGATACTGAAAAAGAAGTTTTAAGTTGATTTCCAGTATAATTAACATGTCATAATAATTATCAGGTGTGTATGTTTCTCATCGATTACAACTACTAAGAATTGTTATTGAAAAAAAAAATTTGATTATTCTCTTCTCTGTTCTATTGATTTTTCAAATTTTCATTTATCAGAAAAAAAAAAAGGGAAAGGAAAAGAATCACCTAATTTAATCATAAATTTTCCATCATTTTTTACACTGCTGATTTGTTCTTCTGTCTTCGCTTTTTCTCTTCTTATCTTTTTTCCTGTAATTATTATTACGCAAAATTTTTTTGATGGCGAATCTTTTCAACTGCTGATGTTTAGCAGCAAATGGCTTTTTAAATGGGTATTCTGTTCAGTGTTTTTAGCTTCTGCATCTTGTCTCTAATAACCGACAGTAACTTTCTGTGCATCATAAACGACATTAAAGATTGATTCTGCAATGTTTTTTTTTCCTAAGACAATAATGTATAGTCAGATTTCTAGTGTATCTGTGAGACTATTACAAGCGTTTAAATATGTTTTATCAACTTTTAAAACGTTGCAAAATTGTTTCTGGCCAAGAAAACTGCTCAAATTTTATAAGGTGTTACCGCGATGACGAAATATTTTGTTCACCGAAACTGTCAGCAAAATTTTTTGAAAGCTGTTGAGGGGCTGTTTCAGCTTTTGAATCTGTATTTTCATCATCGTTGTGATAGTTCATCACCTAATCTTGAAACCTGTGGTCTAAAAAAAATGCGATTATATGCAACAACGATCATTGTTCTAACCAACCTGTTTAGGCCAGCATTCCTTTTTGATGGTCTGTTATTTGTGCTAAAATTTTGCACAAAAATCGTGGGTCTATGATAACTTTTATATGTCTTTAAAGGGTTTTTACAAGAATTTGTGCACAGAATTTTGAATGAAATTAAAAGAAACAACTTTATTTTCAGTTTTATCCTGTTATAAAGATCCGACAACCGAAACATGTAGAAATCTTTTGGCAGCGTTAATTAGAAACGCTGTACTGGACACTCAGAATAGTATCGTAGCAAAGGATCAAGAAGAGTTGGTTAACTTATCATTTGCAATGTTGATAAAATTTTCTGCACTTACAAATTTCAAATTCATTATCAGATTGTAATGGATGCAAATTTTAGATCTGCAAAACCCGAAAAATCACCACTAATAGTAATCAACAATCCTTTTCCAGAACGACTGACATTATTTTGCCAAATAAAGTTTGATAAATTTTTTTTTCGCATTTACGCCTTTAGGTTTGGTGCTTAATTTTGGAAAATAAAGTATGTTTGAAACAAAAAAAAAAAGTGCTTACAGTACAGTGCTTCAACGCGATCGTCTTTGCTATGGTGCTATTGATGAATATTACTTAGCATGTCCAGACGGCACACCACCAATACATCTGGTAAGACAGTAAAAAGGTTTCCGGACTTATTTCTTTTTTGCATGACATCATTTCTTAAACAACTTAATCAAAAAGAGACACCTGATTTTGTTGATAATAATACAGCAGAAAAAAGTATTAGTGAAGAACAGTGTTGTCGTGTTGTCACTTCAGGTTCCGTTTTGTTTGGGCTATCAAATGATGTGTTCACAATTGTCTTATCCAGCAAAGAAGTCTTGCAAAATTGATTTTCCACATTATCAACAATTTTGCACAAGTGATGAGAAGATTTCATGTGAAAAGTCGTCGAACTGTAGCGGACGTGATTATTCCTGCTATTGTGAACCATACGCTTGCCTTCAAAGACGGTTTCTTTTTCTTACTGTCATCTTATTAGAAGCTACGTGGTATCTATAATTTATGGTTGTAGAAAAGCAGCGTGTAACTGAAATTAGGTTGACAGGTACGGTGTGGATACTGCTGCTTGGTGTCAGAGGTTTGAGCTGTTTTGTAATGCTGAAAAGAGGACGGAAAAAAGTTTGGATATGATACATACGCTGAAAAAAACAATTGCAATACACAAGCACTGCTTAGAGTTTCTCAATGTTGCAAAAACTATTTGCGTACCGTTCAGGTAACTTTCGGAAACATAATCGCTTTTAATTATTATCATTCAACAAAGTTGACTGCTGTTAAGATCAACAGTTCCTATCTGATGTAGTTAAACTGTTGAAGGAACGTGTAACTTTTTGTTCATATTGTTACTTGCTAATATCAGAAATAATATTGACCTTAATAATGACAGTGAAGATATCTTTGTTAATATTAGTATTGAAAATGAAAATGATAGTGTTATTGTAATTACTGTTATCCTCACTACTCTCATTACCGTCACTGTTACTAATATTACTATTATTATTTTAAAAATTTTAACAATTTGTCATTTTTTTAGGCCGGATTTCGACTATGATCGTTGTATAAAATTTATATTTGACTGCGAACTCATTACAGAATTTGATGACAAAAAGGAAAAAAAAGTGGAGAAGACGTCATGACCTTTTCTATGGGCATCAAGATCAAGTTGATAGAGTGATATCACTAAATTTGTTTAAAATTCTCATTAATTTATTAGCAACTGTCATTTTTTTATAGAAACTATTTACAATATAATTAAATTTCGATTTTACAGGAAATCATTTGTACAACAACAATTCAAGAAGAAATTACAAGGCTTTATGAAGACGACCAACTATTGCAGTGGTATTTGGACGGCATTAACTATCTTTAGCTTCCAAATAAGCTACTTGTTAGGATCCCTATAGGCTAGCTTATATAAAATTTTTCTTCACATTCTCAAACTTAATTGATAGGCTTTTAATCCTTTCTGTTCAAGAAGTTACAAGGCAATTTCATATTGCTTAGGCCCAGTAAACATTAACACTTGAACGGTTGCTCAGGTTTGTCTACTTACAGTCCTTCAGAACCGTAATTTTTTAACTTTCTTTCCTTCTTTTTTTCCACCCACATTTTTGCTGAGTATTTTCTAACTCTACGGTAGGCTGTTCATATTTGTTGAAGACACATTTTCCACGTTGTTGTACAAACACTTATTCATTTACATTTTCCAGTTTAAAAGTTGTTTTAAAGTGCCTTAAACAAATTACGATTTAGTTAAGCAATTATGAGCCAACAGCTTATCATTCAAGGAGCATGGTAATAACGGAACGCTTAGGTCCTTCAAAATCAAATCTGAAACCAAAAAAGCCTTTCACAAACTTTAAGAAGTTTTATTGCTGCAAAAAAAAATTGATTTGTACTGTGAGACTTCATTTTTTTCTTACAATTTCTGTAATCTTTCTCTGTTTTATGAGTACTTTTTTTATTATGCAGTTAACGTACGTTTATGAAATAGTTCATTGCACATCTGTCTATGCGAACATCGTGGTTATAGCTGCTGAAAAATGTATTCAAGCAGCCAATAATTTTTAAGAAACTAGCCTGAAAATTTGGTCTCAAAACTGTTTGGGCTACTGGTAGGTAAAATGGTCTGAAATGAACAAAACTTTTAACCTGTGGGTGAATCATATTATCGTCTGAGTCATAAAAAAAGCTTATAAAGCTTAACAACACTAATTTATAAGGTCTTTATAAAATCAACCAGAGGAATCCACTTTTTTCTCAGTACCATCTTATAACTCGGTACTGACTGAAATAGTCATTATTGCTAAAGAATTATCTGAGCTTTAAACTGATCAGTTTTACAGACTCGCTTGAATTAACGTCATTGGCATTGTTTTTTCCTCAATTTTTTATAACTCTTTTTCTCATTTTTTACTTTTCCTCTTGTTTTTTTACCGATGGCTGTTGATCATTTTCGTTGATTATCTTCTCATTGGAGAGCAACAAAAACAAAATAAAAAAAAATGAAGCAATTTTTTTGACTATGCGCTATGCTACTGAAACTTTGTTGTCAATGAATCCATCAAAATTCTACGTTTGAATTTTTTCCGACCGATGCTGCTACTGTTCCTGTATCGACAGACTTATTTTATTTCATCAAAGTTTGTTCAGCTTGTCAAATACTGTTTCATCAAAAACGTTTTATTAGTCAGCTTTGTTACGATGCAAAAATTCGCGTTATTTATTGGAATCAAAAAAATTGTTACTTTTAAGAGTCAGAAAAAATACTTTTTGGGAGTATCAAAAATATTTATTTTCAAGACGAACAGTACAAATGATGTTTCTTAAGCTAGACTGTTTGGTTCAAAATTTGCCAAGTTTTATGACTTTTGGAACCGTATCAATCATCTAAATTAAGCTGGTAAAATGACTGTTCAGGTTTATAAATTTGGATTACAGTTTTACAAATTAGCAAGACTCAAGAAAATTGAAAATGTCGAATGAAAGAATGTCTGTAGTGACTTTAAATCAGGAGAATGTCTATTTCAGATAGAGAAGGAAATATTCTGCTCAATCATTTTATAGTATTCGATCAAGTAAAAGATGTGCTTTTAAGTCTGCAGAATAATGAAAAGTAACAAAAACTATTGTCTAGGTTCTTATGGAGCACTTTGCGATAAGAAGCAAGATCTTAGAAGTTAGATAAACAGCGGAAGTAAGTAACCCATAGCCTCTGCTTTTGGAACAAAAATTTATTCCCCGTTTATCTCTTCAGTCTCGCTTCAGATTTTGTTGTTCACGTTTCCTACGCTCGTCCAACCAGTAAGGAAGAGATGTATGATCAATACAAAACTTATTCGTTTCCCAGTTCAGTCCGCAACAGCATCAAAAACAAATTCAGTGTGAAAATGTTTATTTTTTTGAAAGCAGGCACACTCGTCCAACCAGTAAGGAAGAGATGTCGTTTATAAAACGGCTTTTTACAGAAAGATCAAGTTACTTACAAATTGCCATGTTTTGAAGTGGGCTGCTGAAAAAAGCGAAGGAATAAGCAGTAACCAACCAGTCTTCAACTTCTAACTGCAGTATTGATGAATGGAAAATTTGAAAATGTAGTAATGCGTGGAAATCTATGTTTATGAGATTATTTCTTCCAGTTCTCAGGTAGAGTTTTAAGGGCAGAAAAAAAGAAAGTAAATTTCTGCGTTTTTTAGACGGAAACAAATTGGTTTCATTTATGCACACATTGCTAAATTTTGTTTTCAAACATAATACATATGACATTATTGCTGTTAACCAAATGACTCCAGCCTTTCAAACCTATATACAAACGCACAAAATCCGTTGTCGAGCAGTAAGCACCAATAATTTTACCTTTTTTTGTTTTTTTGCATCCAAAGCAGAAACAGATGGTATTAATAACGTTAAATGTGTTTATGCCTAAGATGCATAAAACAACAACAAATAACACATGGCAGTGCAGTTTTAGAAGACTGGTCGGTTATCTAGCATCATAATTAACATACATCATATTCTTTAACTTTACTGCTGCAATTGCTGAAGCAGCAGTGCCAGTTTTCTTCCATAGATGACGTAAAGGTAGAGCAATGATAAGGAATTCAGTGATTAAACAGCTAAAACTTATCTGTAAGTAAAATAACTGTTTATCAATGACAAAAAAAAATTTTTCTGATTAATATCAAACAACGGCAACAAAAAAAATGAAAGATGAAAAATAGAGTTGTTCGCGATTGAATTAGTCAACGGCTAAAGATCATTACTTTTCTTTACAAAAGAAAACCATCGTTTTTTGGTGTTTGGTCAGACTGAACAACCGGCTATGATAATTGATAATGGCCAAGTTGATCAAACTCTTTCACTAACTAAATTGCAGCTTTATCATTATGCTTCCCTCCTTCCTCACCATTCTCTTGTTTCAACTTCTACTTCTACTCAGCTTCCATTTTCTATTCTTCGTTTTTAACGACGGTTAAACATAATGAAAACTTCAGTCTTTTAATGTTTACTTTTTGAAGCAAATTTTTTGTCAATTCTAACATTGTTATCTGCAATTTTTTTTATTTTTACTGCCCTTTTGTAAAAACTGATCAAATACTTTATAGTTATTTGGTTGCAGGAATTTGTGTTCAGCACCAAGTGCAAAGTGCGTTGTTGTCGATCAACTCACGGGAAACGCATTATTGAACATCTCTCGGACAGAAAGAAAAATAACAAGGAAAAAAAGTAGCTCTTTTGACACTGATATCAAAGTTTTTTAACAGGTGTATCATCCAAAAGCAAAAAAAAAGGAAGAGTGAATATCAGTATTAAAAAAGATTTCTCCTATTAAGCTTCCACAGCACTTCACGCTACTTCGCTCTACTTTCTTTTTCATCTGAGCTTTTGCAGTCAACAACCTACTTGACAAGAATGCAGTTTACAATCTACAAGATATATGACAAAAAGTAACAAAAAGTAAAAGCTTTAAAACTCTGTTGTTTTCCCAGTATAGTAATATACAAAAAAAAAAAAAAA